GCGGTTGGGCTGTAATTGCCATGTATAACTTTATATACAGATTGATAGGGTCTACAGTGACCCAAGAAAGTTTGGGCACGTTTTTGTAAGTATGTTTTTTGTCGGAAATCCTTTATGCTTGAAAAGTAAAAGGTTTGATTGTTTGTGCTCTAATCTCGTGTGCCCTATTGTGTGCTTGGTTCTTGCACATTACCCGATCGATAAAAACACATTGTTTCTGTGAGCGTATTGTGTGTGTTAGTCTGAGGTCGAGTGGTGGATCTCAGTGCCATCACNCCTACGCCCGATACCAATTTGTCGCTCACAAATTTCATAAAATAGTGATTTAAAGAAAATCATTTAATCAAAAAATTCTCATTGGTAAAAATTAAATCTAAAGAAAAAAAAATAGTTATTTAGTTTAATAGAGATGGATCAACAAAAAAATCCAATGGAGTTTAGTTTGAAAATCAAGCTTATAACAGAACGTCAAGAGTTACACGTGAGAGCATTTTATATCACACTCTTAACTAAACATCCATATCATTATCACAATAAAAATTTGTCCGATTAACAGAAACAACTTGTGTTATATTCAAATATTATTCTAATTCAAACTTGACCATCCAATTGAAAGCCAGAAACATAAATCCACCACCAATTAAGTTTCACTAATGCAATTAGGACATAATTTAGGGATATAATTTGGGAATTTAATGCATTATGATCGTTGGATTAATAGTGGAGTATATTCAATGTTGGGACCCACTGATAATCCAATGGCCACAATTATTAACTTCCCAAATTATGTCTCAATAACATTGTTTATTAAGTTTACATCCACAAACTCCAAAATAAAATGACAAAGTTCCACAAAACCAACTCGACCAAATCTAATTCTATGAGCTTATAATATAACTATAAAATCGTTAACATAATGGTAAAAGAAACTGAATAATAAATTTTCAAACATCATTTTCAAGAACGATATTTTGATCCATCTCGAGTTCAATCTTTGCATCCTCATCTAATCCTGTTTCTGAAACCTGAAAAATGTTAATTAAGGGGTGAGCACAACTAGCCTAGTGGGAAATTGTTTCTAAAATATACTAAGGTGTTAAATCCGAATATATAAAAAAGTTACGTGGAAACATAAGAAATTTTTATAATGACCAAGGAATTAGCATAATAAAACTTCTATGCGTCTGAATAAGCTACATGGGTATAGTTCAAAACATGCATGCATGTAAATTGTAAAGTATAAAACAAGCCATTTTTCAAAATCATAATTCACTAACATTCCCATACTAAGAAGCCAAGAACAACAAATATTTGGTTCACATGGATGCCTCATATCGATTACAATAATCAAGTGTTATCAATCAAGTAACCATCCCAGCGAGCTTTAGGGAGAACTAGTATTGAGACTTTTGTGGCTCCACATAGCCTATCAACGACATCCACTACTATTGATCAATCCTCCCAAGGACTAGTAGCAATCCTATGGAACCTTGCAAGACTCAATCCTCTTCCCACGATTGTCATTAACTTAGGAATAGTTAGAGTTGCGTGGAACCTCGTGATGGCCAATCTTCTACTATCCTAGATTAATAGGAATTTTGTACAACCTTATATGATCCAATCATCTATTAACTTAGTGTTACCCCCTTAACTCGTTGGCACGACTATGGCATGCAGTTGTTCACCGAATGGCACCCAGTGCCTTAGCAAAGGTCGGGAGGTGCTTGGCTAAGCACTCCCATGGTGTAAAAATGGATTCCTAAGGGATCAGTGATCGGTGGGATCCGAAAACCCCATGCATAGCTGAAGGAGGCAGCACATGCATGGGCATGTTGAGCAAAAGCAAGCAATCAAGTGGGCTCCAATTGTGGCGCATTTCAAGCTTGGAAGACCATGCCATGGACTGGCCATGGCTTGGTATGCATGCAAGGGAAATCAAGTGTTATGGGCTAACAAGAATGGCAAGTGCACATCATGTGAGGCGGTTATGAATAGTTGATGGCATATGCACATCAGGTGAGATGGTTCCAAGCAACTGCTGACATGTGTATGTCATATGGGGCGGTTATGGGTAGTTGATGATTGAGTCAAGTGGCAATTATGAAGCACTACCACCCCTAGCAATGTTCAGCAAATTGTGTGGGAGTGGCAGAACACCCATAATCCTTGAGGGTAAATATGAGTGGTACCTGCAATCCTAGAAGTTAGGGATTTCAATTATATGCCTGAGTTGGGTGGTGCTAGCATTGCCTAGGCGGTTGGGCTGTAATTGCCATGTATAACTTTATATACAGATTGATAGGGTCTACAGTGACCCAAGAAAGTTTGGGCACGTTTTTGTAAGTATGTTTTTTGTCGGAAATCCTTTATGCTTGAAAAGTAAAAGGTTCGATCGTTTGTGCTCTAATCTCGTGTGCCCTATTGTGTGCTTGGTTCTTGCACATTACCCGATCGATAAAAACACATTGTTTCTGTGAGCGTATTGTGTGTGTTAGTCTGAGGTCGAGTGGTGGATCTCAGTGCCATCACAAGGCAAAAATTTGAGTGAAATTTAACCCTTTGAGATAGTTGGTATCCTTTGAGTAATGCTGCAACCAGCATGACGGTGCAGATGGAACAACATGATGTCCAGATTGCAGATACGAGGATGAGCTTTGACAAATATGGGATAGACAACAATGCCAAGATTGCAATGATTATGGAGGACGTCATATCCCTTATGGATGTTGTCAAGGTTAATCTGAAGGATCTTGATTCTTGAAGATGAGGGTGACCCTTGTGAAGAGAGTCATGCATTCTCAACCCGCTGGGGTGGAGACATATTTGAAGATCAAAGTTCTTGAACCCAAGTACTTTGGTGATACACAGAGTGCCAAAGTTTTGGAGAACTTTTTGTGGGGCATGGAGCACTACTTCAAAGCTGTTTATGTTCTTGCGTGAGAGAAAGTGACCATAACCAGNACCCAAGTACTTTGGTGATACACAGAGTGCCAAAGTTTTGGAGAACTTTTTGTGGGGGCATGGAGCACTACTTCAAAGCTGTTTATGTTCTTGCGTGAGAGAAAGTGACCATAACCAATATGTATCTTTCTCTCTCGCTTTCTCCCTCCTGATTTGTTTTACTCTCCCATTTTTTCTTTCATTTTGTTTTTGTGAAAGTAACTTCTAACTTGCTAAAATCGACCTTTGTGTTTTAATAAAACAAACCTCATTTTTATTTGGTCCATTTAGCTTTTAATGCTATAAAGTTAGCCTTTTATTTTAAGAAATTGTATTTGCTTGAAATTTTTAGGAAGTTTGTATCTGTTTGTCGATGAATTGACTAGACACATTTAGGATGAGGTTTCATAGTGTATATTATCTGTTAATGATATAGTATTAATTGATGAAACTAAAGTAGGAATTAACAACAAACTAACTTTAGAATCAAAAGGATTTCGAATGAATAGAAATAAAACCAAATATATGGAATGTAGTTTTAATAATAGTAGAAACCCAAAATAGGGAGGTAGTAAAGATCGAAGATCAAGAGATACCAAGAGCGAACACTTTAGGTATTCGGAGTCAATTAACTATTAGGAGGGAGAGATTGGAGATGATGTTAATCACAGAATTGAAGTAGGATGAACTAAATGGAGGAATACATCTAGTGTAAATGTTATAAGTCAACCATTACATTAACAATGCTTTATGGATGGAATGTTGGGCAAATAATAAACCACATGCTCATAAACTAACACTCAAAATTAAGTGTCACAAAAATTGAGAATGTTAACATGAATGTGGTAAAGCAAGAAAGGATGAAATTAGAAATGAGTATATTTGTAAAACCGTAGAATTAGCACTAATAGGAGATAAATTAAGAGAGAACTGACTTAAGTGGTTTAGATATATTTATAAAAAGCCTAATAATACACTTGTAATGAAGAGCGATTTGATACATATTGATGGTAATGTGAGACGAAGATGTAGACCTAAAATAACGGTGAATGAAATAGTGCAAAAAGATGTGATAGCTTATAGTCTAATAGAACATATGACCCTTGATGGAGCGCCAATGGAGAAACGGGATTTATGTAGTCAATTCGAAATAGTTGGGAATAAGGCTTCGTTGAGTTGAGATTGCATTTGGTTGTTTTTGTGGTTTAATTCATAATCTCTACATCTTATCTACGATATGGTTCTCGCTTTGATGAAGCTTGTGTCTCACCTTGCCCCTAGTCCTTGGGAGACCTTGGCGCCTTGGTGCACCTTTCACTTTGAATGTTATTGGATGATAATGTGAGAGCAAGGATCAAAACATCATTTCAAAATGGACGAACCATCCGAAACATTTTCGNTTTCACTTTGAATGTTATTGGATGATAATGTGAGAGCAAGGATCAAAACATCATTTCGAAATGGACGAACCATCCGAAACGTTTTCATTTCCGAGGAGACGGAAATGACTCAGTAATAAAATTGAAATTCTAATACTTCGAGGTGTTCCATAATGTTTTGAAATGTTTTGTTATATTTTAATGCATTTGCACAATTATTTCAGAATGTTTTAAGGTATTTTAAAATATCTTGGTATATTTCGACCAATATTTTGAAAAAATAATTCTTAAATTTTTTATATAGCCCTTGCTAAAAGTAGCTTGGAGTAATAGGATTCATGTAGTCGATAGTAAATAGTTGGAATAAGACTTTGTTGAGTATAATTGCATGTAGTTGATGATGGTTCCTATAATATGAAGTTGATGGGTGGTTATGGAGCCCAACCTTTTCCATTATGTAATTTACGAGTCAATAATCTACATATTTAGTAACATTTATTGAGACACCCAAATTCTTAGGATGACTTGAATTTCCACATCAAATTAGGAGCTTGTATTTTAGGTTTGGTGTATTTTTGTTCCATTATTGTATTTGTTTCTTCAAGTTCCTTTGAACATGTGGTAATACTGGTTGAGCACTATTATGTGTGTCCTAGGTCTTGATTATTCAACATTGGTAATATGATTGAGGATCTATGTTCGCAGGTGATAAGAGCATATGCTTTTAATAAACCTTGGGTTATAGGTTTCCTAATGGACATATTTGGAGCGTTACTAATGCTGCGAGCATTATCTCAAGCCCCTGTAAGTGAATCAGTAGCAAGATTCTCTTTGTATATATTTCAATTCCCTTTAGTTAACATCCTACTCAATTATGTAGATCAGACATTCTCTGTACCTTTTGACTATTTTTTTTATCAGTTGAACGCGTTGATGTAATTATTTAAAAATGAAAGAAGATAATAAGCTAAGATTCCAACATTTTGTAAGTCTTTTTGTTATTAATTGATAACTGCAATTCTGCATAGCCTAGATTTTATGTGGGTTAAGCACAATGTCCTGAAAATAGCTGCAAGGTAAGGAATTGAGATGAATTCTTTAATATTACCTTTGTCCTTTCAGGGTTTTATTTAGGGAATATAGGTTTTGAATCAGTGTTGCAGTTTTAACTGTATATTGGCTGATCTCTCTAACATTCTTGAACTTGTACAAACACTTGCCTTCGAAAGTCCAACCTATATTTTCTTCTCCATCATCATTTTGAAAATGTTGTGGCCATCGGAATAAATTTTCCTGCAAACTTGTGCTTTATGTGAGATGAAGCATCTGAAAATGTACAAAGGATTAATGGGCTAGTCGTCCTGTGTAGCAAAGGCATCATTATGTTCTACCAAAATAAGCATATTTTAATATTTTGCTGCGATACCAAAGTTCCAGGTTGCACTAATGCCAAATTAACTGGTATTTTGGGTTTGTTTTGTTTCTATACATATCCTTGTAATCTTGACGTTGCACTCCAGGTATCGGTCATTCAACCTGTTTCTGGTTGTGGACTTGCTATCCTTTCTATCTTTTCCCATTTTTATCTAAAGGAGATCATGAATGCTATTGACTGGATGGGGATTGCTTTGGCTGGCATTGGTACCATAGGTAATGTAAGTTCTTTTCAGTTCTCCTTCTAAGGCCACTATTTGATCTAATAATAACGGCATTTGCATTTCCTGCGAAATGAACCGTAGACGAGTGCCTGAGATGTGAAAAGTGTGCTTTTTCAAGATGAAAATGGCAGTTAACTTGTTTTCTTTAATTGATATTGATTGGTCGATTTATATTCATATGACATACGATGCTTAAAAAATAGGTGACCGTAGTTGTTACTGAATATTAAACAGTGGAAGTCTACTTCATTATCTCCCCATGTTAAGATAGTTATTATATTATTTTTGGGAAAAAAAGATTGTTATCATCTTGTCATAGTGATCCTCGCTCTAACAATTCAGAATATGAGTTCATGACTCTTATTTTTACGATATCTCAATGATGAAGAATCTTTATATGATGCGGATACATGATTGTAGCAAGGAACAAAGGGAATGGCCGATCGGATGGTAGATGGAAGTGTTGAATAAGTCACGCTTGGGCTTAAGGTGATCTCAGGCAAACCCCCTTGTGCCTCAACTAGCGTCAGGCGAGGCGACTTTTCCAAGAAGCCTACGCTAAAGGCAAAGAGTTGCTCTGTCTTCAGCTAAATATTTTCGGCTAGGTATTAATGCCTAGATCCTAGCTTTATTTCACCTAATTTATCTGTGAAACTTGAGGGCTGTTAACTGGCTTCAAGCTTGAGATGCTTGACTTTGTCTTCTGGCAATGTCTACCAGTGTCTTTCTCAAATGCGACTTTCTCCTCCTCCTCCTTCTCCTTCTCTAGCTCCTTCTCCTCGTCCTTGTCCTTCTCTCTCTTCCCTTTCCATTTTTTGCCTTCCATGTTCTGTAAATGGGATTTTTACATACCATACATTGAAAACCTTACCAGCCCCAGCCCCATCCCCAGCCCACACCCCAAACCTATTGGTATCATCTAGTAGATGGATGTGTGTGTGTGTGAGAGAGAGAGCCCTCTGCCTTTCATCTTTTGGGCTTGTTTATTTGTTCTGATCGGGGTCCTTATCTTCTCCAATCCCGGTGTATATCAACATAGTAGTGGAGTTTTCTGAACCTAAATTGCAGAAAACTTGAGGCCTACTGTCTGATTTTTTAGTGCAAGTTCTGCCTCTTGTCTAACGCATGTAAATAAATAGCTCCACATTCAATCCAAATGGCGCTTGGAGTATGCAAACTCCTTCTTGTGCGAACTTTGCTATTGTTGACTAGTTGATGCAGTAAATAGTTTACTCAAAACAACTCCTAGCATCCACGTTGAAAATAAAATTAAGTTACAACAATATCTTATGATCTTCTCAGATTCAAGGTGAAGGTTTTGAAATCTGTAGACAATTATTTTTTTGAGTGGAGCTGCCTAACTACTGAGATTGGAGTATAAATTATGATATCTTTCAGTAGTTTATCTCAATGCTGTAAAAACTCACACCTAGGCTTGAGGCAACGTGAGGTGGCTCTATTGTGCCTCGACTGAGCTGAGGTGAGTTGACTTTGCCGAAACGTAGTTTAGGCACATGAGGCCTGGGCTGTATTTTTCTTCGTTTTTCTGTCATGATTCTATCTGGATCACGTATATCTTTTACCAGATAGCCGGTTGGAACAATCGAAGACTTAATCAAAAACCGACAAAGGAAAAAGCGAAGACTATTACATTTTTTTATTTTTTTTTCTTTTTCTACTTATATCTTGAAGGATTACTGATCCTCTATTTTTTCTTTATTTTTAATAAAGTTTTCTGATGAAAAAATAAAGAAAAGAACGCCATAACTGGCTCTCTCTCTCTCTCTCACTGTCAGTTTACCAAGTAAAGTGATTGCAGACAATCAGGCGAGTCATCTGTCTCTCTTTTTCTTATTTTTCTTCTTTTTCCTCTGTCGGCAAGTAGATTGCTGGTCCTCTTCTTCAGNGAGGGCTGTTAACTGGCTTCAAGCTTGAGATGCTTGACTTTGTCTTCTGGCAATGTCTACCAGTGTCTTTCTCAAATGCGACTTTCTCCTCCTCCTCCTTCTCCTTCTCTAGCTCCTTCTCCTCGTCCTTGTCCTTCTCTCTCTCCCCTTTCCATTTTTTGCCTTCCATGTTCGGTAAATGGGATTTTTACATACCATACATTGAAAACCTTACCAGCCCCAGCNGGTTTTTTTTTTTTTTTATATTCTCCTTCTCTTCTTCTTTCTTTTTTCTGTATAATTTGAGACATTGGACTTGCCAGCTTACTTTCGAGTTTTTTTTTCTTCTCTTGTCTGGAAGAGATGTGAGCTATTATGTTTTTTTTATCTTCCTGTGCCTCGTCTTGCGCTTAAGCCCCGGGAGACCTTGATGCATTGGTGTGCTTGTTACCATAAATAGTGTTGGTTTATCCTTTTCAGTATCCAAAAACTTCAACATAGTGCTTACTAGAAATTACTCTTCAGGCACTGTTTAACCAAAAAAAAAAAAAGAAAGTAATAATTCATTTTAGTGTTTTGGGTGGTTATGATGTGTGGGGGTGCTGCTCATAACCAAAATCATAAGGCACATCGTGCGGCTGCAAGTAGACTTTTGTCCTCTCATGTATCAACTTGATCACTGAATTCATAGGTTATCTTGCAACAACCAACAAAAATTTAAACATTGAAATGGCTGCTTATTGGAGAGACATCACGTAATCAAAATCACAATGAAAACCAAAATAAAAAAAACAATACAATACAATTTCAATACACAATGCTCACTGGCATGTAAATTGTACATCTTCCCCATGTTCACTGGACTAACTAATTCCCTTTCACCATCTGAATTTTACAGCTCAATAATGTTAGCAGCAGAAAGACCAACACAGCACATTATAGCAACAGTACAGTGAAGTAGAAGATAATAGGAGAAGTAGCTCATGCAAATACTCATCCTTTTCAGAACTGCACAAATGCACCAATATTATTGCAATTTGCAAAGCATATGTCTTTGTGTCACAATGAAGTGATATTGGCAGATCAATAGTGGAAGAACAATATAAAAGAAACTTCTTTGAGGATAACATCTTTCACAAAAGATGGTATTGATATGCAAGAACATAATTGCACAAATACACCGACTTGCCAAATTATTTAGCATAGTTGTATCTTCATACTGAAAACAATTAGGAGGGCAAAATGCTAAAATACCATGAATGCCAACGGCAAAGAGCACCTTAAATTTGCAAACATCTGAACAAACATATTGCATTGGGCGAAATAAATGGCGAAATTGGTTTCATAGCCCAAATCCAAGTCATGGTATAAGATAATCAGTGTGCCTGAATTTTTTTTGTGTGTGGATATGGAACTCCAGCTCTTAACATATATCCCCAGCAGATCACAGAACACTAATTAAGTCTAGACACTACAATATATGTGATAGCTTGTATATTAAATCTTGCTCTTACACAATACCAGTAAAAAAATATTTGAGAACATATGAAACCCATTTAATTGAGCTCATTCTAAAGAAGTTCTACAGTACAAAAAAAGGGGGGGGGGAAATCATTTTTAGTATCCAAAATGCCAAAACCACTCTCCCCCCTCCTCCCAAAAAAAAAAAAAAAAAAAAAAGAAAAAGAGATGGTTAGAAATAATAGAATAAAATATTAAGCAATGTTTAGTAAGAGGGAAAACATGAAGATATTCATCATTCCTCTACCTTCTCCTTTTCCTAGTCCGTCACATTGCTAAATCCAAGAACCAAATGGTCAATGCATCCACAGCAAAAGCAAAATTCAATCAAAAAAGTACAAAAATTGAGTCAAAAACAGAGAAACGATAATGATAGATCTCATCAAAATTAATTATTTCCCAACAAAATTAACATCAAATTCTCTTTGAAATTACGAAATCAAAATCGCAACAATTCGCATCAACTTGTAGCTATTGATAGTTAAGAAAAAAAAAGCTTTCGACTTCATAAAATACCTAAAAAGGTAAAGCATTGGACTTCACTGGTGTTCTTCTTTTGTTGCCATGGAAATTAAAAGACAATAATTAGCACATAAATAGAAATTAGTGAAGCATCATTAGGTAAGCCCTTTTTTGTCACCGTGACATTCAAAGATAAGCAAACATAAGAAGATAGAGAATGAGTGTGTGTGCGTAATGGTGGGTATAGGTGTGTGTGTGAAATTGAGAGCGTGTGCGCTAAAAACTATTAAGTGACAAAATTAGTCATCTAACTATCAATCCGCCAAAACTCAAATGTTGAACCGGTTAAGTTTCTTAGTTATTGAACCGAAGCGAGTGTGGGCTACCTGTAAACTTAACTTATGTGCTATGAATGATAACAGAAAAAATAAGAAACTATCAATTCAAATTATTGACGTAATCAAGTCCATAGTACAAATTGTATGAAGGAAAAATTTTTNGAAACTATCAATTCAAATTATTGACGTAATCAAGTCCATAGTACAAATTGTATGAAGTAAATATTTTGACTCATTATATGTACCAATAACCAACCAATTGCGCACATAATAGTTGGGTTTGAGTGGTATCTGGATTAATCATAAAACAATTGGAATTTAGCTTGGCTATTTTAGATATGAATACTGCAGTAAAGTGCCACATTAAACATGTTTTTTTGGGAAGTCAAGCTCAACATTCACCACATATAATGATGATTTTTTCTTGTTTAACCACAACCACCAAAATATGAGTGAATTATATTTCATAGACCTGGGAGGAAGGTAAGGATTCCAAGTCCTAACAGGCCATAGGCTTAGGAATGATCTCCTTTCATGTGAATTGTGAAGATGAATAACAAAAATATGAGACATCCTAGTAAGAGCAAGAAAATTGTAAGCACAATAATTTAAATCAATACCAGATCAGATCACCATGATTGAAAAACAATGATTAAAAAAAATCCTAAGCCTGAGATAGGAAAGGAATATTCATAGTCATTAGATTTTTTACCATTTGGTAGCTTTGAAGCTGCCTTTGTTGAAGAATAATCCAGATCAAATCACCAATCCTGCTATGAGTAATTATCAAGAAGTCTAATATATTTTCACTTAAAATATCAAGGGGGAATAAGCATTATTTCATGATGTTGTTGGTGTGTGTGAGATGAACAAAGAGAGTTGAGACAAAGAGTGCAATTCTGTGTGTGTATGTGTTAATGGTTTTGGGTGGGGGGGGGGGGG